TAAAATTTTAAGTTGGAAGGTTTTCTTTAAGTTAACTGGAACATTTCCTGGAGTAAATATAGAGTAAATATAGGATATTAGAGACAGTCTCCTTCAGTTGGCAAAGCTTTAACAAATTGCTTCATGAGACCCAATTTGATACGCAGAGGTGGAAATATAATATTCTTTTTGTCAACAAGTGGCTGATGTACAATGTTTGGATCACCAGGTTTCAGGTCCGGTCTTGACGGCCAACTCGACTGCACCCAATGTTGCAGACAAGCTCTGCTGTTTCACATACACAAATTCATGGATATTTTGTGTATCCACGTTATTGACCAAGTAGGAAGTAGACCATTTTCTGGTTAACACAAATGATCCATTGGTGCATGTGATGTTGTAACAGATCAATGTCTTTCTTTATGTCGTCATATTCTTTACGCAGACAAACTGAATATCCAATTGAAACGGAACCAAATAAATTTCCATTGTGAAGTTGAACACACTTTAAGCTCTGCTTTGAGCTATCTATAAACAGTCGCCAGTCAGTTGTGTTATAGTTTAAAATTACCAATTCTTTCATTAAACTACATACATTATGACAAAACACAAATCCACCATCACTTTAAAAGTATTGCAGAAATGTCCCTTCTCGTTTTTGAAAATAGTTTGCTCCCTTTTCATTCAAGTTTTTTCATTGAATCAATATACTAAGAGCTCTGAAGCTTTTTTGCATAGTCTTAATTCCCGTACCAAATCATTTAGCTCATATCCATATTCCTCTTCTTCCAAAGAGGGAAATTCATTGAAAACTGACACGGGAATTTCGGCTGAATGCGGCACTGGCCGTATTGATAACAGTAAACTAGGATACTTTATCTTACATTTGTTTTTCTTGTTATGTCCTTATGTAAAGATATATAATTTGAGCTCGCTCCAAATCATAAGAATACCAAATGGAAGTTTAGCACGTGTTCACTTGGTCCACATCCGTAAACCCTCAACACACTGTTTACGCACTTTGTGAGGTGCCCAAGCTTTATCTTGATCACCAAGTTTCATTTTAAAACAGGCAAAATATGCTTATCTGACAAATATATTGATGTTTGTCCTTTGACTAAGAATGGTAAAACTGCCACAAATTTAACAAAATGAATCGGAGCTGTTTTCGCACTTACGACGTGTAGGAGCAAAGGTAGCCATAAGGAAACATTATAGTCCAAACACACTAAGTAGTTCTATACACTTCAATAATAAAATACTAAATACTGCTAACCGACACCCAACATTTCATCACAGTGTAACAGATGTAACTGAATTAAACAGGCAAGTCTAGACCAGTTGCAATTTCAACGCTTCATTTCTCCCACCAACATGTGCCTCACCCATATAGAAAATGAACATAACATGATAAAAACTAAAAACAGTTTAAAAACTAGCGTGCCCAATTCTATGGAAAACAGCTAAAAAGTCCAACTTAACAGAAATTGAGTTTCAAATTGTTCCCCAGTAAATAAATCGTAAGCTAAGATAAGCAATCCCACACTTACTGACCAACGGCTTTGGGCGGATGAGTTAGTAAGTGGAAGGGCACTCTTTTGTCCTGGTGCTAAGAATTTGGCACCAAAGGCGAATGAATCAAGTAAATCGTCAACGGCATAAGGATGCAGAAGGCAAGGAGAAACCACTGCATTAATGATCCATATGGATATCTCTAGTATAATTATCATGGCAATAAGTACTAAAGGAAAAAAAGAAATTATGGGAATCGGAGCCCAAGATCCAGCAGGGGAGGAACAGACAAGAACTCCTTGTCAAACTTTGGAACAAGACAAACTAAAATTATCAAAAACAAAAACAGGCACGTGGATTGTCAAAAGCATGTATCAACCTGGTAAAATGCATAACATCCTTCAGGAAATGGAAAGACTGAATATAAATATATTAGGAATAAGCGAAACGTGGTGGCCTAACTCAGGATATCTTTCAACAAAAACTGGTACCTTATATAGTTCGGGAAACACTGATAACCAACATAGACATGGAGTAGCAATAATTGTCGATACAGAGGTCAACAAGTCAATAGAGGGCTTTGTCCCAATCTCAGAAAGAGTAATGCTACTACAAATAAGTATATCACACACAAAACTAAATCTGATCCAAGTATATGCGCCAACGACTGATGCAACGGAAGATGAAGTAGAAACAATCTACCAACAAATTAAAGATGCACTGAAAATTACAAAGAACAGGGAAATCACGGTAGTTATTTGCGATTTCAATGCAAATGTCGGCAAAGGAAAAGCTGGAACAGTAATGGGAGACCAAGGACTAGAGGAACGTAACGATAGAGGTGATCATCTAATACAATTCTGCCAAGAACAAAGTGTAATAATGACAAACAGGTTATATAAATTACCAATGAGATGGTTATATACATGGCGCTCACCAGCAGATAAACTGGAAAAAGTTGTAAGAAACCAAATCGACTATTAATGATTAAAGAGATATCGTAACACCATCAAATCAGTTAAAACATATTCAGGAGCAGATGTCGCATCAGACCATAACCCACTAATCTCTAATGTCACGCTTAAGCTTAAACGTATTAGAAAACCACAAAGAAAATATAAAAATCAAACTTCAACAAAAAATATACGAAAACTTGGAAAAATTAGATACTAACACTTACGAGATAAACGAACAATTAGAAACACTAAAAAACTGCCTCCTTGCTTCATGCAAAGAGATATTAAAAGAACCGATACGAAAGAAAGACAATTGGATGACCGACGAGATAGTTGGCATGATGGAACAACGAAGACAAGCCAAGAACAAAGACAGTCACAATTACAAAATCATTAACAATGAAATCAGAAAAAAGATAAGAGAGCAAAACAAACTTACTATGAGGAAAAATGTAAAGAGATAGAGGATCTTCAGAACAAATACGACCTATTCAACATACATAAAAAGATTAAAGAAATGGCAGGGCTGCAAAAAAGAAATCACAACATAACTCTTCTAGATAAAAATGGAAATACTATGATAACGACTGACGAAAAACTAAAACGATAGGAACAGTATATGGAAGAGCTTTTCGACGACGAAAGAGGAAACCTACAAGACTTGTCTTTTGAGGACAGAGAAACAAGTGTAGAAATTACAAAGGAAGAAATACTGTATGCACTACAGATCACCAGAAACGAAAAAAGCCCGGGGCCAGATCAACTGCCTATTAATATCCTTAAAATAATAGAAAATGAGTACATTGATGTCCTCTTAAAGCTTTTTAATAAAATTTATCAACCGGGTGAGATACCCAACGAATGGTTGACCTCAACATTCATTTGTCTCCCAAAAAAGAAAAATGCTAGAGAATGCACTTAGCACTGTACAATAATCCTGATGTCTCACACACTTAAATTGTTTTTAAAGATCATTTATAAACGCATTTACAAAACACTTGATATAGATATTGAAGAAACTCAATTTGGATTCCGTAATGGCGTAGGTACCCGTAAAGCTCTCTTTGCATTCAACGTACTAATCCAGAGATGCTTGGATGTGAACCAAGATATGTACGTCTGTTTCATAGACTACAACTAAGCTTTCGACAAACTTCGCCACAAAGAGCTAATGGACATCCTCAAAGCAAAACAACTACAACAAAATGACCTTCGAATTATAACAAATCTATATTATAAACCGCAGGCACATGTACGCATTAATGAACACACATCAGAAGAGTTCGAAGTTAAAAGAGGAGTGCGACAGGGGTGTATATTGTCACCACTACTATTCAATGCATACTCTGAAGAAATTATGAAAAGAGCTCTTGAGGGAGAAACAACAGGAATCAAGGTCAATGGAACACCAATTAACAACATTAGACATGCTGACGATACTATCATATTAGCAGACAGCCTCCAAGACCTCCAAAAGCTAATGAACAAGATGGTTGAGTATGGAGAAGAATATGGATTATCAATAAACACCAAGAAAACCAAATTTATGAGGATATGAAAAACCCAAAATAATGGTGAAAGCCTGACAATTAACGGTAGTGCTATAGAACAAGTTTAAAACTACCACTATCTTGGCACAATAATTAATCACACAAACGATTACTCCAAAGAAATCAAAGTTCGAATATAGAAAGCACGTACAAACTTCAATAAAATGAGAAAGGTACTTTGTGCAAGAGAACTAAAATTGGACTTGAGAGTTAGGCTGGCAAGGTGTTATATTTTCTCGACTCTGCTTTATGGGATGGAAGCATGAAGACTTAACGTGTCGACTGCTAAAAAGTTAGAAGCATTTGAAATGTGGGTGTATAGAAGAATCCTGATGATATCATGGACCGAGCATGTGACAAACAACGAAGTTATGAGAAGAATCAACAAAATAATGGAAGTATTGGAAACCGTCAAGACACGAAAGCTGCAATACCTGGGGCATGTTATGCGTAATGAGAAGTGTAGGAAGAAGAAGAATCTCATGGTTGCGTATCTTGAGGGAATGGTACGGATGCACATCAATTGAACTATTCAGAGCAGCAGCATCTAAGATCAGAATAACCATGATGATTGCCAACCTCCATCGCGGATATGGCACGTGAAGAAGAAGAATAAATCTTAAGGAAAAAATCGTAAAATTTTCCTACATGGTATGTCGTCTTATTTAGTTTGTTTTTAATATTAATATTATATTAAACTTTAGTGAGTTCGTCAGGAAATTGCGGAAACTGAGAAATAATAGTATTAACCCTTCAGACAAGGGTACCACTAATTTTAAGAAATATTTTTTATAATTATTTATTTTTAATTATTTTTAATAATACATTGCCCTTTGTTTTTAATACTACATTTAATTGGGACTATATAAAAAATATATTTATTCTTTTTCATTATTCAAAGGTGGACAAAACTAGAGAAAATGTTTTATATATGTAGTACCAAAAATCCTTAAGCTGTGTGATAAAATAAACAGTTCATATTATTTTTTATATTGTATTTTAGACCTTAGCGGACTCAATGCAGTTATATCAATTTCCCCCACCATATTTTTCCGACAAAGATATAAGGGAGTTATTGACAATGTTGTGTGTGGAAAACAAATTTCTACAGAAATCCTGTAAGGCATATTTTGAAATTTTGGTCGATATGAACATTGATAATATAGACCAGGTAAAATATAACTATTTAAATTTGATGTAGTATCAATTTTGTTTTCTGTTATTGTATATATATATATAATATTGTATAATTTGTCTGAACGTTTTTTCACTATTTTAAACAATGGCTTATCGATCATATCACTAGGTGAATAATTAACAGAGTCAGCCTATGAAAAATAAATTATCTATGTTAAATTTAAAGATAATTTGGTGATAGTTGTTATAAAACGAAAGAAATGAGGATATTAAAAAAGGGTTAGAAATATATACACACCGTTCGCTGTATCTTTGCACATAATAGTTGTACGAATTAAATCAAAGCGTTTAAATCAAACGTAAGTCTTTTCTAGATTCATGAAATAATTAGGAAATGTTTAATATCCCGTTAAACGTATTAATAGTGATTTTTTTTGTTTATTTATTGTACGGGATGTTAAAAACTCATTATAGCCTAGGCAGGATCTGTTTTGGATTGGACATTTTCCATAGGAAGTTATTTTTTGTAACAATAAAACACTGAAAACTTTGTTTTCAAACTTCCACAAAATTTATTTTAAATATTATCACTACAGCTGTTTCGGCTGATTGTCTTTCTCAAGTGATCTATTTTGGCTTGGGTTTACAAATTTATAGTCTCTAATGAAATAGGTTGAGGAGGGGAGAACTGTTTGTCTCAAGTTCGTCATTCAGAATTATATCTGTGTTTTTTAATTTGTTGATTTCCATAGATTCTAACAAAGATAGCTTAAGGCCTTTATTTTGAATGTGAAGAATTTTAAATTTGTCATTAAAAGAATGATTATGATCTAGAAGGTGAAGTGCATATGTCGAATCTGTTTTTCTATTCTTGAAAGCCCTTTTATGTTCTGCTATTCGTTTATCAAAGTTTCTACCAGTTTGACCGATGTAAGTTTTTGGGCAGTCGCCACATTGGAGTTTGTATACACCACTATTTAAGTGTTTTTTATTTTGGCTCTTGTTATTTTTAATATATTTGCCTAGGTTGTTATTTGTTCGGAAACTGGTGTTATTCCTTTCTTTTTTATGTGTTTGGCAATTTTTGTTGTTATTTTGCCTGTATATGTAATCGAGCAGAAGGTACTGGGTTTTTTCTCTGGTGGTGGAAATACTAATTTCAGGGCTGTCTTGTGTAGTTTTTGATTTAACATTTTATTAATCAAAATTAAATCTCCCCTCCTCAACCTATTTCATTAGAGACTATAAATTTGTAAACCCAAGCCAAAATAGATCACTTGAGAAAGACAATCAGCCGAAACAGCTGTAGTGATAATATTTAAAATAAATTTTGTGGAAGTTTGAAAGCAAAGTTTTCAGTGTTTTATTGTTACATAAAATGAATTTCCATCAAGTAACGGTCGAATCCATCAAGTTATTTTTTTGCTGGAATCCCTTCAGGATATGCCCAATATCGATAATCACGATATGCACCAGTCGCAAACACTGTGCTAAATTTTTTATTTAACAAAATCTGAAAACAATTAATAATTTCTCTTTTTTTTTGCTCCTACTTTCGTTTATAATTCGGAAAATATTGATCGTAGAGAAAAAATTATAAAAAGTTAAAAGTTTTGTTATTTAATTTTACACAATATTTCCCTAGCTAAAAATTGAAAACTTAATGTTTATTGTTGAAAAATAGCAATAATTGGAAAAAAAAGTACAAAAAAATGAAGCTAATTCTTTAAATATTTTCGACTTTCTAAACTTGACTTACAAGCTCCATATTCCGCCTAGAAAAACTTTATAATATGTTTAAAATGTGTGCTAAATTTTGTTAACATCGGTCGGATAGGTTTTGCATAATAATGTTGCAATCCAGCCTACTGGAAAAAAAATCGCAAATTTTCAAATTTATAGTAGGCCCTAAATAAGGCCCTCAAGTAGTTAGAAATTCTTTTACATATAAAAGAAGGCTCAAACTTTCAAACGCTTTTTGTAAAATTCAAATTGGTTCACTAGGAGAGCCTAGAAATTTTTTTAAAGTTTTAAACATTTTTTAGACTTATAAATAAATTTAATAACTTTACGAGCTTTAAACATATCAATTTCAAAATGTATACACTTAAAGAACATTAAAAGATGCTTCTCTAAAAAAGAGATACATTCGGCTTACTGGTTGCCGAGATATTGAAGGTCAAAGTTGGCATACATTTGCCGCGTAACCATAAGTGATAGAGAAAAAAAAATTTTTTTTCGTTCGCTTTGTTTTCTATACAGCCCTTAACATCCATCCTTGGATATAGGCCTCCTCCTCCTTCTTCCATGCCTCTCTATCTTGGGCAATTTGCATCCATTTTGACCCGGCGTGTTTCTTCAGGTCATCTGACCATCGCATTTGTGGCCTTCCCCATTTACGTTTCTGATTCCATGGTCTCCAATGTATAATTGTTTTAGTCCATCTTTCATCTTTCTGCCTTAGGGTGTGTCCGGCGAACTTCCGTTTAAGCTTTGCTACTTGGGTTGAGACATCTTTCACTTTTGTTTTATTACGGATCCATTCGTTTCTTTTTTTGTCTGATAGTTTAATGTTCAGCATTTGTCTTTCCATGGATCTTTCTGTCTTTGCTATTTTTTCCATATTTTCCTTTGTAAACGTCCATGTCGGGAAATGGCTTTGTTTTAACAATTGAAATTATTTATTAACAATTTATAAATACATATTTGTTTACTAAAAGTAACAATTTACTTCAATGTATAAATTGCAAGCTCAAAAAAATGCACGAAGAAAAAATGCAATTACTTGTTTAACATACTTGCTTATTGCAAATTTCCTAATTTGCTATTAAAAATGGCATTTTAAAATATGATATTTGAAATCCTTGTCGTCCGAGACATCGATTCAACAAAAAAGAGCAAAATTGGTTAACAAGAAGCCGAGATAATGCAATTTTTAGCGCGCACTATGATTTTGAACTCGCCGTTTCACATTTCGAGTGAATGTTCCCCACCACCACCTCTCATGCATTCCGAGAAAACGGTTTTTTATTTGTCTTTTTTATGGATGTTGCCATGAAGCGCATTACGTAAAACTTTTCATATAAAAAGTACTTGACAAGACGAGGGTAGTTGTTTAAAAACGAGCCCTCTATCATTATGGTTACACGGCAAATGTATGCCAACTTTGACCTTCAATATCTCGGCAACCAGTAAGCCGAATGTATCTTTTTTTTTAAGATGCGTCTTTTAATGTTCTTTAAGTGTATAAATTTTGAAATTGATATGTTTAAAGCTCGTAAAGTTATTCAATTTGTTTATAAGCCTAAAAAATGTTTAAAATTTTTAAAAAATTTCTAGACTCTCCTAGTAAACCGATTTAAATTTTACAAATAGTATGTGAAAGTCTAAGCCTTCCTTTATATGTAAAAAAATTTGCAACTATCTGAGGGCCTTATTTAGGGCCTACTATAAATTTGAAAATTTGCAATTTTTTTCCAGTAGGCTGGATTACAAAATTATTATGCAAAACCTATCCGACCAATCTTAACAAAATTTAGCACACATTTTAAACATATTAAAAAGTTTTTTTAGGCGGAATATGGAGCTTGTGTCAAGTTTAGAAAGTCGAAAACATTTAAAGGATTAACTTCATTTTTTTGTACTTTTTTCCAATTATTGCTATTTTTTCAACAATAAACATTAAATTTTCAATTTATAGCTAACGAAATATTATGTAAAATTAAATAACGAAACTTTTAACTTTTTATAATTTTTTCTCTAGGATCAATATTTTCCGAATTCTAAACGAAAATAGGAGCAAAAAATAAGAAATTTTCAATTGTTTTCAGATCTTGTTAAAAAAAATTTAGCACAGGGTTTGCGACATGCGCATATCGTGATTATCGGTATTGGGCACATCCTGAAGGGATTCCAGCAAAAAAATAGCTTCCTATGGAAAATGTCCACTATGGTCTGAATTTCTACAGATCCCGACTAGTCTATTATAGAATTGTTTTGAACGTAATTTTGAATTTTCTACATGTTCAACGTTATTATGATTATTGGAAGAAATGCTCTATTTGAAATACTTTAGTCGAGAAAGATGGACCCAAGATCGAACAGCGTAAATTCTCATATTTATTTATTTATTTATACACCGAAGCATCCAACAACCGAAGCCAGTTACTGGATGAAAAAAAAGTTTTCTTTCAAAATACAATATTAAACATTTACATCGTATACATATGACATTCATTTTTTAGGCTTAAGCATAAGAAAATGACCTACAAGATAAAAAACTCTTGTGCTTGTTTTTCGAACTAAGTTACTAACACAAAAAATTTAATTAAACTTTACAAAATAAAACAATACACAATGAGAAAAAGAAAAATTTCGAAAATACATTAATTTGTAGAAAACTTAAAGGGTGTTACAAATTAGTGCTCAATCTGTTAGGCAAAAATAATACGACTTTCCTTATGTGGCCTACCTAAAAACTTAGTATCTATTTTTTATACTAGCTGGTTTTTACCAATTTTTTTACTTGTGTATCGAACTTCTCTGTAGATTCCAAAATAAAAAGTGTGGAAAGTTATGTGTAAAAGGTTTCATTGTTTTAGCCTAAAGAATGGATCAATTACTTTGTTACAATCTATTTCCACAAATATGTTTAAATAACTAAATTATTAAAATAAATTGAAAAAAAAAACAAAATATCAAAATTATATATTTCCTTTACTTTCAGAATCCGAGCTATCTTCAGGATTTATTATAATGGGTTGAATATCAATATAAATTATATTTTGCTCTCGGACATACCACTTTTGAATAATTTCATGAGCTTGTCTTACACATTTGTCCCAAATGTCTCCATTACATTGATTAAGTGCCTCTTTCCGCATATTTATAACAGCACTATCAGAATAACCGTCCCTACCAATATGCTTATTGTAATATGACTTGCAATTTGTCCAAATTAATTCAATAGCGTTGAATTCGCAATGATAAGGAGGTAGTCTCAATACTTCATGACCATGCTCTCTTAGTAACTCA